AGCACAGAAATGCTTGGTGCAAAGAATTCCCACTATTCGAATGTAAATTTGTGCCCCGCTATTGGCCAGTGCTAAATTATTCACACGTGGCGGCTAGTAATTGGCTCACTGGCCGTTTAAAATTCCACGCGACTTCCGCCCAAGTCGAAGAGCTTTGAGCACGCTGCAGAGAGCCTCTGAAGTTATCTGACTTGCGGCTGGGGGTTTTTTGCTTTGTGGCTGCCGATCGATAGACTGATCACCTATCGATCTTTCTTCCCGTCGCCGAGCGCAACCCTGACGTACCCCTTTCCCCGCCGGCTTCGAATTGCGGACGGATTAACTGGCTTGGGCCCCGCCAGCTGGAACAACTCGTGTGGTTGTTCAGACGATCAGACCACCTGCGTCGTGATTGCAAGCGGCATGAGTAAAGTTTTTTGCAACCGATAAGTTGTGTCTGCCTCTCCATTCACCAGCCCGCCCTGACGTACGACCAATTTCTAACGTAACTCGAGTCAGCTTTGGCCGTCCGAGACAATGCCCAATACTACATTGGGGTCTGCTCATCAAGGGGGTTACTACTAGAACCATTGTGACAAGAGATTGGGATGTGCTGAGTTTTGAGGCGCATGAGGGTATCAGCTGAAAGTGTTGATTGGACCCAGCCTGCTCAGACATACTCTGCTAGCATGTGTGTATGTGTGTCTACCTGCATTTATTATTGTCCTGATGAAATAAGGGATCAACTGAGTTCAAGGCACATGAGGGTGTCAGCCTGTCAATGCTGAATAGTCCAGCCTGACTCAGATGCATTCTGCTAACCCGTGTGTTTGTGTCTGACTGCAATTTATTGTTGCCCTGATGAAGTGAGTTCAAGGTATATGAAGGTGTTTGCCTGTCAATGCTAAATAACCCAGCCTGGCTCAGGCATGTCCTGTTAATCTGTGTGTATGTGTGCTTGACTGATTCAGTGGTTGGAGCAACCCAGCCCCACTGAAGCTGAGTCCTGCAAGATAGCTCCATCAGGGGTGATGACTTGCAGAAGGGAGAGATCCAGCTCCATATAGAAATACAAGTGACACAAGCAGCACATTGATAGAATTACAGAGACCCCAGAATCATACCCCTAATAGATGAGCACACCCCGAAGTGACAGGCAAATCTACTAACAGCAGGGTGAACACCACTGGGGTACAGTGATTGGGGGACTATCTAAAGACTTCTCTACAAAAGGGAGAAAGCTGTATCCCTCCCTGCCCCATCCCCCTGATTCTCATTACATCTCATTAAGGAATAAAAATAAGCCTTCAAGTTTAGAAAGAAGCCCAAGACTTCCCACTGTTGAGTGAGTGTTGTAACTGCAAAGATACATCCAGATATTTTCTCTTGTTCAAACTCTTCTGGCCCCCTGTTTCCTGCATTCTTAGTTGGCTAGCAGCCCAGCTTCTACAGGAGTGTTGTGAGTGCACCTCCCCCCCACCAAATATTCTACAGGCTGGGAGGTTGGAAATTATATTATTTATTTATTTGTTTAAATGTGGGTTTGAACAGATCCAGGATGTTTATTTGGGGCAAGGTATCCAAGCATTAGCCTAGTATATGAAAGGCGGGATCTTTGCCTCAGGCTGCTTTTTAACAGAATATGGCTTAGTGGCTATCCTTAGAACACAATGTCTTTTTCTACATCTTAAAGTGACTGAATGCCCTGAGTGAGACATTTAAGCTACAGAGATGGCAGAGAGTTCAGATACAATCTTGTGTTTGCCTTTCCCATTGGCTCTCTATAAATGGCTGCCTGAATATCCTGTGGAGCACCTGACACTGCTTATTGACAATGTAGGAAGCCTATGTTTTTCACCTGTTTTGCTGGCCTTTGAGACCAGACACCAAATTCTTAGGCATAATAGCCATGCCTACATAGTAAAGTCACCAAGCCTAGCAGTGCAATTCTCAAACATAGAATCATAGAAGTCGGGTCAGAAGGGACCTTGTAGATCTTCAGGTCCAACCCCCTGCCTGGGCAGGAGGAAAACCAGGCTCAATTGACCCCAGTCAGGTAGGCATCAAGCCACTTCTTAAAGACCCCCAGGGTAGGAGCCAGCACCACTTCCCTTGGAAGTTGGTTCCAAATCCTAGCCACCCTAACTATGAAGTAGTTCCTATGGATGTCTAATCTAAACCTACTCTCCAACAACATGTGGCCGTTATTCCTTGTTATCCCAGGGGGCACTAGGGGAAACAAGGTCTCCCCCAAACCCTTCTGGTCCCCCCTAGTGAGTTTATAGACGGTCACCAGGTCCCCCCTCAGCCTTCTCTTGTGAAGGCTGAACAGGTTCAGGTCCCATAGCCTCTCATTGTAGGGTCTGGCCTGCAGTCCCTGGATCATGCAGGTGGCCTTCCTCTGGACCCTCTTAATATTGTCCACATCCCTCTTGAAGTGTGGTGCCCAGAACTGGATACAGTACTCCAGCTGTGGCCTGACCAATGTCACATAGAGGGGGAGGATCACCTCCTTGGCCCTACTTGAGATGTACCTGTGGATGCACGATAAAGTCCGGTTAGCCCTGCTGACCGTGACCTCGCATTGTCGGCCCATGTTCATCTTGGAGTCAATGATAACTCCAAGATCCCTTTCCGCCTCCGTGCTCTCAAGAAGGGAGTTTCCCCATAAGTGTGCTGCTGGTTACTACTGCCCAAGTGCAGCACCCTGCACTTGTTAGTATTGAAACGCATCCTGTTTTTGTTAGCCCACCCCTGCAACCTATCCAGGTCTTTCTGCATTCTCTCCCTCCCTGCTAACATGCCCACCTCTCCCCATATTTTGGTATCATCAGCAAATTTGAACAGGTTGCTTTTCACCCTGTTGTCCAAATCGCTGATAAAGAAATTGAACAGTGTGGGCTCAAGGACTGAGCCCTGGGGGACTACTTTGGAACAGCAATGTTTCAAAGTAGCTGCCTAAGCTGGATGCAGTTTACCCACATACAAGGACCACTTTAAGCAGAGTGATTAGCACTGATAAGTGACCAGACCAGTTAATGCAGACCCATTCTTACATGGATGCTGCTATGCTGTTTAGCAGTTTAGGAGACAGCCCACCTAGGCACTGCTGTAGGACATAGTACACTTACTAGACACCCAGGAGGCCAGTTTTGATGTGAGTGGTGTTCAGATGCCATAATCACTAGGGCCACAAATCTACCTTGATTACTCTCAGTTGGAATCTTTGACTGAGATCCCTACTTAGTACAAATCAGGTTGAAATAAATGAGTGAATCCTCAAGCTGATTCCAGTCGGGCCTACTTTACTCTACCAGTTTACAATCACTTAAGGGGGCAAGTGGCTCCTTGTTTTCTTTTTTTTGGTTGTGGGGAGGGGTTAATAGTTTAGTCCAGCTGAGTCTCTGGACCTAATGAAGCAGTATCTGAGGATTTATCTAAAACAGGAAGTACAGTAAGCTAGTTCATGGAAAGTCACATGCATGTTTTTAATTCAGATCTTATCCTATGGCAGTGGTCATCAACCTGTGGATCTCAATCCACTCGGAGATCTCAGAGCCTTTTGCGGTAGATCTTGGAGCCTCTTAGAGTCAATCCAAGGCTAGGTTGGGGTCCTGAGTGCCTGCCTGCATGCATGCCGGTGCCCCAACCCAGCGGTCAGCCTGTGGCGAAGGGAAGGGGCAGGAGCTAGATCGAGGCCCCCTTGGTGAGGGACAGTGCTGCAGAGGCAGGAGTAGGGGTGAGTTGAGTGGGACCCCAGCCAGATGGGACTTACGTGCTGGGAAGGCGAGCCCCCAAATAATTTTTCTCCCTCTGCCTCAATCTGTCCCTGCCCTTCCCTTACCATAGACTTACCTGCAGGGCGAAGGAGGGAAGGGGCTGGCACAGTAGATCTTGGGTTGCTTTTAAATACCAAAGGGTTATCTCCTACTTAAAAAGGTTGGAGACCACTGTCCTAAGGGATTTGTCCTAAAACACATGTGAATTTCCTAGGGAAATTAAGTAACTTAACCTGGTGTTACAAGACACAGGTGAATGCCAAAACCATTGGTCCATACTTCCTTTGATTATCAGGTGTGCTGACAACCTCTAGCTACCACTGACTTCATTATTTAGCACTTCTGAACTCCATGCCCAAGTTCTTTCAAGTCAGGTACCCAAATCATTGCTTGTCTCCAAGAAAACTGGCCTGCTCTTTTGCTGTCTTTGCTATAGTAGGCTGGGATTTCAAAGTAGCAAGAAAGCATGAAGAATCTATATTTCATTCTCTTTCAGTGGTATCTGCTGTTAAATAGATTTAAGTGGATTCATACTGGAGTATGTTTACATCATTACATATTGTTTTGGTATTTTTTTCCTGTCTTACAATAATCATGTCTTTCCCCTGAAGGCCATGCAATGAAATCCAGGATTTCCCTGGCTTTAGATATGTGAATTCAGCCTAAAACCCTTTTAGAAAAATAATTTGCCTCTCTGGATCTGGCCTATAGAACACACAAATTTCCCAAATCTGGTTTTTTTTTTTTTTTACTCTGACCAGAGACCTCAAGAAGGGTACCTTGGGTCCAAGAGCTTGTCTGAGATCTCTCTTGACTATACAGTTGGTTCAATAAATGATATCACAAAAAATAAAAACTAATAATCCTTGGCTCTTGTATATTCCCTGGACTATCGCAGCTACAACATCACTCCAGCACTAAGAGATTTTCAAAGGCATTTAGGTGACCAAAAATGTGAGTGTGAGTGTGAGAGTTTCAAAGCACCTAACTTAGTAACTAAATTATCATTTAAATCAAGGCAACTCACTGCATGTTCTGGGCTCATAAAGGCACAATGTTGCTCCCAAAGTAGTTTGGGCAGTATAGACACTTGTAGAAAACTGTGGCAGGGCACTGAGTGTGCCTGCCACTTTAAGGGCCTGGAGCTGGCAGCCACGAGGTGCCTGATGAGGGCAGCCATTTTAGAGGCAAGGGCTGCCTTTATAAACAGTGCAGTTTAGCTGCCTGGAGCCCAGGCAGTAACATTGCCTGGCTGGAGGGTTGCTGAGAACAACCTGGAGGTAAGGGGGAGTTGCAAGGGGTTGGTAAGGAGGCTCCTGGTCCTGGGCATGACCTGAAACTGCACCCTGCTGGAAGTGGGTGGCCTGGTGGGGCTCTCAGTGGCGTGGGAGCCCCCAGGAATTCCCAGACCCCCCTGGTGAAAGGTGGGTTGGGGTGCCTTAACCCCTAGCTCCCACCACTGGGTGGGTAACCCCATGTGTTGGAGGGGCCCAGAGGGTGGACCCTGAGAGAGTGATGAGGGCGTGGTGCTGTGGTGAACCCTGGGAGAAAGGGGGTAGTAGGGCGATGAGCCTGGAAGGAGAGTGAGGGGCTAGAGACCAAGCCTGAAGGGGAGAGTACCCTCGACTGGCCCAAGCTGGGGCCAGGACCAGGAGGGTCAAAAGGGCCAGGGGCCTACCATGAGGGGTGCCCAAGAGCCGGGGACCTGGGGTCCTGACTGGCCTGGAGGTGGGCTAGGGCTAGTGGCCGAAGGTCCCAGGGGGACCGCACCCGAGAGGGGAAAATGGCTTCGTGGAGCTAGGTAGCCTGGATGAAGGCAGAGAGGCTGCCTGATTGGAGGGATCATAGAGGGGTCCTGTGTGGATGATTCTGGGGCCCAGTGTGGGGCCGGTGATTATGTGAACACCAAGATGCCATCTGCGAGGCTTGGGCTGCGGTATTGGGGAGGATAGGAGCCGCAGAGAGCGCCCCCTGGCATCGGGGCACTAAAATGGGCAGCCTCCCGCTTAATTGATTCAATTACAGATGACAATTAACACCAAGGCGTGGTGGGCGAGATAGTGGGCGGTTGCCCAAGGACAGGTGGGCGGGCCATGGAGATCGGCCCCGAGGAGGCCCCCATCACAAAAACGAATGCACTGTATTTTCTCAGCCATAAAGTTACCCAGAACCTTAGAAAGGTGGTGACCTACCTTCCCCCAGAAGTCCTGTTTTAGCAGTGATAACTCAAAAAACATTATGCTCTTAAAATCGGAGCTCTGCCTGTAGGAGCGTTCATTCAGCATAATACAAACCTTCCTATCATTCCCTTTGGAGAAGGATAAGGTGATTAATTAAGAGAAAAAGCCATGGAGAATATAAATAATGAGAGAAAGGAGAGCCTCTTTCTTCAGAACAAGAACAACTGCAAAACTCACAGATTACAATGTGATGATTACTAATTGTCCCTGAGCAACAGCAACGACCAGACAACATTCTGGAGGTAAATAACATGTTTCTTCTTTTCAGGGAGGATAAAATTATAGGTGTCTGTCTTTGTTTTTCCCTTTCAGTTTAAAACTATCATGGGAGATAATTCAACTTTTTAAGTACTTTCCTCTTTCACAGAGGAACAAAATCAAGTATTTTAAAAATGTGTTTTATTTATTTATTCAAATGTATTTTGGGTGGCGAAGGGAGGGAAAGAAAAAAAGTCACTACATTTTGATATCAAGAAGTAATGGTGGGGGAGAGACCCACAATCAAGATCTTGGGTTTTTGAATGTTTAACTTCTTGGCAGATCCCTAGATCACCAGGATATTCTGGGGTCTTATTCACTCTGCTCTTAAACAGAAATTGCTTGACTTAAGGAACCTTACCCAAGTAAAAGATTAATGTAAACTAATGCATGCCTATGAAAAGCTGCTTTCAAGCTGTGGAGGGGGGAGCAATTTCTGACCATCTTTGACACTGCATTTGTGGCTATGGCTATTCAGTCAAAAAGAAACCATTCCATTGTTACCAGCTACTTGGTCTCCTCGGTATGCAGGCTAAGAGAATTTTGCCCAGTGATTCCTTACTTGAAAGAATAAATGCTAAACTAAAAAAAAAAAAAGTCTGCCTATAATTTATAAAGAATGAAGGGGTCAAATCCTTCTGACACCAATTTAAACCCAGAGTAAGCTTTAGGATTCACTGTAGAGAGTGCTCATTTCAAACCATGAAGCTGGCAGCAGATTTGATGACCAGTATCCCTCAGCTAAATCCTGCAGTATCACCTGGGCTGCTGTACATGAATATAACTCCACTGAAAACATCAGAGTTGTAGTTTAACCAGAAGTGTCAGAATACTTGCGGAGAATTAAATGTAGATACTTCAAATTTACACAAGGATAAATGAGGGAAAGGATGTGTTCTGTTACCAGATTTGCCCATTACTTTGGGGTGTGCTCATTTATTAGGGATATGTTTCTAGGGTCTTTGTAATTCTGTCAATGTGCTGCTTGTGTGCTGGTGTTTCTATATGGAGCTGTATATCTCCCTCCTGCAAGTCTTCACCCCCAATGGAGCTATCTAGCAGGACTCAGTTTCAATGGGGCTGGGTTCCTCCAGTCACCAAATTAGTCATACACATACAAACACACACAGATTAACATGACATGCCTGACCCAGCCGGGTTGATCAGCATGGGCAGGCTGACACCCTCAAATGCCAGGAATCAGTTCATTAAGGAAACAATAACATGCAGTCAGACACAAGCACACACGTGAACAGAAGAACTCTGAATCCAGCTGGGTGTCCAGCTGACACCCTCATGTGCCAGCATTCAGTTCATTAGGGCATGTCTGAGCCAAACTGGGTCAATGAGCCTGTACAAGCTGATCCCCTTATGTGTTTCAAACTTGGCACGTCCCAATCTTTTGCCCTGACTGTCCTAGTAGTAGTAGCCTCTTGATGAGCAGACCCCCATAGTATTTCTGGGCTTCACAGGATCTTTGGCTTAGGTAAAAGAAGCGTTGCTGCAGAGCAAGTGGGGAAAGAGAAGTAGAGCAGGAAAAATGTACCCAGTTCCTACCAGTTTGACTATAAAAGTTATTTATTGCTAAGTATATGAAATATATAATGGTACTAATAGTAATAGACATGCAAAGGAAAACAAACACAAACAATTACAATACTACCCTGGTTTCATTTAGTATTTGGGGAAACTTAGCTCAAGTTTAGCTAACACAATTTAGGTTCAGAAATCTATGCCTAGAGAGAAGAGAGAGAAAGAGAGCAAGATCTGGGACCTCAGCAGTCCAAGGGACTTGGGTTGTAATGCTGACAGGTAAAGTTCTTGGCACAGTCCTTGAAGAGAGATGATCCATTTCTTCCAGCTTCTCGAGAACAACAGTGGATGGTGTCAGAAATTTGTTTTGTTTTGTGTGTTTTCTTTTCTTGAAGCACACAGGTTGCTGCTTTTAGAAATTTTTATAACCTCAGTTCAGTTTCTTCAAAGCATTCTTTTAATAGTGTAAATCATTGTCTTTTCTATTGACAAGCGGTTCTCTGGTTTGGAATATCTCAAGAAACTGATCAATAACCAGGAAAAAACATAAGGTTAAGGAGTAACCAGACACTTAGCAGCCAGCTTGAAATGGATAGCAGATATACTGGATGGGATACCTCACTGTTTCTCCAGAAACAATAGATAGCTTGCAGCATCAGGGTTTTGTATTCTTACCTGTTGTGAATAGGCCTCAGCTTAGCATGACTTTTCCAGATCTTGCTAAAAAGGATTGATTACTTGGAGTGTTCATAAACTTTGTGGGGAGGACTTCCACCAGTCATACCGGGAAAAGTATGACAACATTTGCGGTCAGGGTTTCAATGGGCTGGACGCTGTGATGAACGCTTAACCATTGTTCAGATGTTGCCCATACCCTCTTTGACTCAGTCTCTCTGCCTCAGCATTTCCTAAGCTGGCAACCAAGTTTTAGTCAATCAACTAGATTAGAATTGGTTTGATAAATGCTGAGCTGGATGTGTGTAAATGTGGGTTGATAACATTTGGAGCGCAGATTCCCCATCATGCAGCGCTGCCCTGATTCTCTGATCCCAGAATTCACTGTGATCTCTGCTTCAGGCTTCCTGCTCTCCATCTCCCATGTAAATGAGTTGTCATCTGATTCTATCTTGGATGCCAATGAGACCAAGGAAATTTTGCTCCCTTATCTGGAGAGCTTTAGGTGCATCTTCATTGTATTTCGTAATCAGTTCTTGCTCAGGTAGAGGAGGGGAAAATGCTTTCAGAGTCAGACAGGCTGTATCCCGCACTAGGGTTCCCCAAGAACACGGAGCTGAGAGGTAACAGTTCCATGTTGTTCTTCTAATACTAATGCGAATCTGAGGGGATTCTTTTGAAGCTGAAAGATCCTTATTTTTCACCACTGTGTAATTTGAAGGAGAATTTGACCCATCATGTTATGTTCAACAAATCTTTTAAAATGCAAGTGAACAAAACAATGTTATGTGGAAAAGAGATGTTAATTGGTACTAAACTCATGCAGGTGGACAACATTTCAAATTTGTATTTTATTTTTGTCTCTACAGGCTAAAACTCTCCAGAATAAATGGTGATGAAAAATCAAACAGCAGCGAGTGAATTCATTCTCCTAGGACTTTCCACTTCTCCACATCTCCAGATTTTCCTTTTCCTGGTGTTTTTTGTTATTTATATTATCACCCTGCTAGGAAATGCAGTGATAATATTGGTGGTACATAATGACCCACACCTCCATACCCCCATGTACTTTTTCCTGGGTAACTTATCTTTTATTGACATTTGTTATTCTTCAGTCATTGTCCCAAATATGCTTCATACCTTCTTAGTGGAGAGAAAAATCATTTCACTTAGTGGCTGCATCACCCAAATATTTTTCTTCCTGTTTTTTGCTACAGTTGAGGGGTTAGTTCTTACAGCGATGGCTTATGATCGGTATGTGGCCATATGCCATCCTTTGCATTACACTGCAATTATGAAGCGTTGGGTTCACATCCAGCTGGCATGTGGTGCATGGGTAACTGCATTTTTCTATTCCTTGATGAATACCCTACTAATAACTGATCTGCATTTCTGTAAACCCAGTCTAATTAATCACTTCAGCTGTGAGCCCCCACAACTGTTCAAGATCTCATGTAGTGACCCCTTTACCAACCAGCTTGTGATTTTCACCATTGGTGCAACATTATGGGGGACAGCTTTTCTCATCACACTGAGTTCATATGTGCTTATAATTTCTGTTGTCTTGAGACTCCATTCAGTGGAAGGAAAACGCAAAGCTTTCTCTACTTGCTCTTCCCATTTGATTGTGATTTTTATGTACTATGTACCAATTTTATTTAGGTACCTAAAACCCACCCCACACACCTCACAGGATCAGGAGAAATTAATTTCAGTGGTTTATCTCATTATCACACCTATGTTGAATCCTATAATATATAGTCTAAGAAATCAAGAAGTGAAAAAGGCCCTGGGAAATTTCTTCAGAAGAACAGGATAAGCACATGGAGCGGCTGGGCTATTAAAGTTCTTTCTAAAGAGCATTTCTGCTTTACAAGGAAACTCTTTTGATGTACTTAGCATTTTTCCTTTCTTTTTTTCCCTTAGTAAATATACTTACTATAGTAAAATGAATGAAATAATGATCTCTTTTCAGTCTTTAAACCAAAATATTTGAGGGAAGGGGGCAGAGACATAAGAAAAAAAAAATTGTAATCCATCCTATGCATCACTCTCCAAAATGTTCCAGTCACTGAAATAGCAAGAAAAATGTCTCCTCTCAGCTATATTTGTGCTTAATTTTTGACCTGGGTACCAGTGTCAACAAAAAGATAACAATTTAAAAGAGACATGATTGCAAAATATGCAGTATAATATATGGATGGGTAGCCTCAGAACATTGTGCTCCTGGCAATGGTTGCAGCCTCTGAGAAATCCTATAATAAAAATAAGTGCACTAAGGAGGTTGTCAGGATTTAATACATGGCCAGTGGTTAGTCTAGGAGATGAGCAATGGCCAAATAAAGTTCACAATAAATGGTTCAACAAG